GGCTAGAACCAGACGGCTTATGCTGACTCAAATCGATTTAGCGGCTTGCAAATATTGGAAACGACTTGAAGATCCTCATGTTGAGATATGGCCATATATGATCGGATATGACCGGAAAACCATTTGACATCAAGTCAATGCGCTTACGGTTTAGCCCTCGCCATGGAATCGACAACGGTTTTGTTTTGAACAAGTTGCGTAAACATATCTTAAGGTCAAGGACCCCGGGGCGCGCTTTGCTCTGTATCCAGGCTTTGGTCGACATGGCGCTTGGTTTCCACTTGTAATGTGCTTGAGTCAGAACTGAATCAAACATGCAGCAACGCTGCAATTAGAGACAAGGCAAACAGCAAGGCCCTTGTGAAATATGACATAGCTTGGCAGGACTCGTGTGTTTGACTTGGACTTCCTCCCGTGCTCTCTGCGTCCTTAACCGCCACATCCTCCTTGAACTCCTGGCAGGAAATGATGGAGGGTCAGCTGCTGGCCTGGTGCCAAGGAAACAATGCGCAAGCTCAGTTTGTCCTTCCATCCCAAACCGGAAGACTGATTGATCAGGCGGTCCGTAGGTGGCACGAGGAAAACACGTTTAAAGGCTCCACAAACGTCGTGCCAACAACCTCCTCCATCCGTATGATCATTTCTCACTCACTGCGTAGTAAGTGGCTTTCATAGTCTTGCCGCACTCCTTAAAGCTTCTCGCTGAACCGCTTGCTCGTGCCCAAAATGAGTTCTGGGCTGTATGGACTGCGTGGATTCCTTTCCATCGGCAAGCGGGCAGCTTGTTTGGTGCATACCTTTGTCATGTGCCTGATTGATCGGAGCTTCCAACCTGCTCGTCTAGTTTGCCATGCTTGCTTCTTTCCCGTGGCTCGCGTAGGATTGCCCCTTGGCTCGCTTATGGGGTTGCTTCATGCGTTTTGCGGCTGCTTTTGACCTTTTGGCCAATGCAACAAAGTACAGTATGAAGCTCAAAACAGTGCTGCCGCTTTGGAGAGACACATGCCCGACTAGTTTATGAAGTATGCAGACTCAGAAATCCCTGTTCCCGCGCCCTTCCCCCGTCATTCGCCTGGGCACCGGCTCTGGCACCCTTGCCAGCCCAGACCACGCCAAAAGAGCCCATGCCCAAGGGCTCCCAGATGTAGCCTCGCGATTCCGTGCGGGTGCTGTTCGCATGGCATTCTTTACTCTCTTGCACGTGTTTGCAAATTTTGAGTTCTATTCCCAGCCTTGGCTCAGAGTCCATGCGTGAGTCTTGAATGAGAGGGCAAATCGCCCTTCTAGCCCTTTATCTTGCTTCGTGTTGATTTGGGGATGGCTTCAGCTTCGTGATGAGATGTGAATTGACCAGGCAGCATCGGCAGTCGCCAATGGGCACCACGATGCCCACCGCCAGCTCCAGTGACCCTTCCGGATTTCGTGGCGCCGTCACTTTCCGGTGACCTAGGGGAACACGCGCTCGGTGCAATCTGACTTTTTGCACAGAGCAACCTTGGATAAATCAGTATCAGTTCATCAAGCCCCCCCCTCCCCAAACCGCATCGGCAAACGAAGGGCAAAGATATGCTAATATGCGCAGAAAACAACAGCTGCTCCCCGCATGCCAAAAGTTGTTGGGCTTTCATGCCAAGCAGCCTGGCGTTGCCTGGCGGCCTGGCGTGGGCGTTGCTTGGCGGCAGCTTGGGGGCGTCGCATGGCGGGGTGCAGCGCGACACGGCCCTTGTAAGCGCAGCGGCTCTACCTGCACCAGGCAAGCGTGATCACGTGCGCCGGTCAACGGGGTAATGAGGACGAGAATGCCATCAGCATGAAGCATACGGAATCTGATGTGGTTTCTCAGAACTCGGCCCACTGGAGAGCCACTCAACTGAACATGGACAACTGGTGAACAGCATCGGACAAATCAACAATCACCAACATGAACATGCTGAAACATACGGACAAATATTGGCCCCAGGCAGCATGCAGTTTTAATCTGCCTATTCCCTGACCCCTTGCCTGCCATGGCTGGAGAACCGGCACCACTGGCCGCGCCGGCCCGCGTGCGCAAGGTGCGCAAGGGGCGCTGGGCGCGCTGGGAGCGGGTGCGCCGGGCACCGGCGTCGCAGAGCGATTGGCACTCGCGGTGCGGGCGGCTCGGATGGGGGAGGATGAGTAGCCGATGGGTGCAGGGACGAAGCAAAGGGGGCCCGGTCGCGCCATGGCGGCCTCAAAGCTAGAAACTCCTGGGCATGTGTATAGCCGATCTCGAATTTGTCTGCAACAATATTTCAGGGCAGCTGGTCTAGGAGTCCGTCCCAAAGTTGGAGGGATTATTGTGGCAAACCTCTCTGGTTGGACAATTGATGTGCATTGTTGTCGGAGTGCTTGTTTCTTCAGGCAAATCGATGCACTGGTTATCGTTGACTGAAGCCATTGGATTGGGGAAGATTTCAAATTCAATTGAAGTCGCAACGATGCGTTTGGGGTGTAAGAGCTAGACGCCAACTATTTTAACTACTTTGAAATAATGCTGATGTTGCTCACATGTTGTTTTCGTGAGAAACATTCCGCGCAAATAACATACCATCTTGTACCAACGGTCCATGCAGGAGGAGTCGATCATATTCTCCTGCGCGTATGCTATGCATGAGCAAAACAAATGTAAAACACCAAGTTGGTCCAGAGCTGTTTGTCTCGAATGGGGACTAGCCGAATATGCAACCTCATCATGGCAAGCTCCATGCATCGCATGTGTTTTGTAAATTGATTGGGGGGATGGATGTCTATAGCGTCCAAAGTTCTCCAACACCCTCGGCCAAAATCATGTTCAGAAGCAGAGGAGCCTTGCACTTTGCCAGCAAGACATACGTCTTGGCGGGTACTTGGATGCAGTCCAATACGATCACAAACCAGCGCTTGATGAAACTAGTGGTTGCTTGGTGTTCTGACACCCAACGCGAAGCATTTTGTGGCCGATGAGAGACTTGTAACATGGCTGTTAGGACTTGCGTTCGTTTTAGCAAACGGCTCCCCTCCACAAACAAGTGGAAAGCACGGAAGGGTCTTGGATGACTATCATCTCAAAAGGACCTCATGCTCCTTGAAGAGGGTAGCCCCTCTGCGAAATTCCCAAGACTGGGTCAACAAAAACAAGCTTGTTGAGCCCGTTCAAGAACACCGCCTGCCCAGCCCTTCTGACACAACGCCGGAAGCCGCCACTTTCAACGATGCAGCGTAATCTCGGCCTCGCTTCAGGCCACTCATGCATCGAAGAGCTGGCTGCAATCTGATGGACCAACGCTTTTCTGCCTGAAAGTTGCTCAAAGTACATTGCTAGGATTTTGCCAGCGGGATCTTGCAACACAACTAGTGCCGGTTCGGTCTAGGGCTTCATTTACATAGCAACTTGACAGGCATGCAATATTTGACAGTTTGCCAGCTCAATGAACAGTCATATCGTGCTTTTGCGAAACCGACCTTTGTCTATCTCTTGAGGCCATCACTTTGCACACACAGCTCTCTGGGTAACTTGAAGCTTCGGAGCGGTCACTTACTTCATGGGCAGCTTGTGTGTTTTCCCTCATTTCGACCTACATACTCTCAATGTCGCGTAATTATTGCTTTGCGCATGTACAGGTCGCCAAGCATTAATGGACGCCGAGCTTATTCTCACAACAGCATCTTCGCGCACACAGCAACTACATGGTCGCCACACCAGAACTCGGCTTATGGTTTCTCACTTGCTGATGGCGAAACACATAATTCATAGTTATATTGCATTCCCAACATTTGCTCTGTTAGATAGTCGTTCCTAACTGTGACTGACAAACGCTACAGTACTTGCAAGCAACATGCCACATGCCCTCATGTGGGGTTTGACATAATTAATGTTGACCTCATGTTTACACCTCCCCTGCACGTATTTGCAAAATCCAAATCCCGGACCCAGAACGTGCTTGGAAATTCACTGTTGTTGAAGTCTATAGAGTCTAAGTCAAAAAGAAAGACCCACACTTTCTTCGCTACAGAAGCCTCCTGAGCCGAAGCACTGGGATTCCAGGCTGTGAGACTGGATGGCCGCCCGGCCAACTGTACAAACTCCGCACAGGGGCTGGTTCAGTTGAAAGCTTTCCTGCCAACATGCCATAAATACGAGCGGCGGATCAACCTTGATTTATTGATACTTGGCATGGGGTATTTGCTATCAGCAGGAACCCTCAACAATTGGCGATGGCTGTCCCCTCAACAAAACAGGGGCAAGAATCTGTAATGAAGTCGACATGCAAGAAGTTCAGGAGATCTTGGGACAGAACGCACTTCCAGTATGACTTACGTGACGCCTACATCTCGCGAACAAGCTACACTGCTACACTTTCAACCCAGGGATGATTCCCCAACAATCGCGCAACAGGTGACACCTGTTGCGAAGCATACTCTGCTCAAGCTCATGCAATCTGCGGCCCAAACGGAGCTGAGGACATGTAGCTGGTCTGCAAAACAGAGTTGGTCAAATGGACGCTCCTAAAAAACCAATAAGCTCCAAATATGTTTTTCCTAAGTTCGGACATTAATTCAACTCGAAATCAAACGTTTCGCGGGATCCCATGCCCACCCGGGTAGGGGTAGGTTCGCTAATGTGTTCTCTCTCTTTTATTTTCTCCGAGACAGCTCTCTATGACCTCTCTGAGCAATCTGTCCGTGTTCTCTCTGAGCAATCTCCCCACGACATTCTTGTGTGCTCTCTCTCTCTCTCTCTCTACGATCTGTCGGCGCAATCGGCGTATGGCATTCATCTGTGCAATCGCTCTTCACCATCTCTGGGTGCGTGTCTCTGCACAATCTCTCTATGACACTGCTTGCACAATCCCTTGCCATGTCGCTACGAACATTTTTCCAGAATGACCCTTCGCTTTTGGAATAAAGCAGGCCCAGAACTGCTTTCGGAAACAAAAACAAGCAGGCAAACACATTGAGCTCAGCATTAGGCCCAGCCAGCCGAATGGCCATTCACGGCCTCACGTTAGAGCCCGAACTCCTCGAAAGCCGTTGGTGCTGGCCTGGCGTGGTGGGGTTTGGTCCAGAGGGGGGCCCTCGGAAACTGCGCGGGCCACATGCTGCGCAACAAGGCTGCCCAAATGCTAAAGCCGAGCCAAAGACGAAGGCACAACATACGTGCGTTTTTGGAGATGAAGGACAAGCTACCGACATCAGCCCCATTGATTGTCATTCATTCAAAGATATCCGATTCTTATCCGATGCTATCCGGTCCCCAGTTTCAACTTTTTTCTGCTTCTTTTTTTTTGTTCTGTGCAGTGCAATTGAACTGAGATGAAGACAGAGCTTACAGCATTTGACAATCGTCTTCTTCAATCACAAATGGCATACTATACTGCTCCTCCAGAATGGGCTGAGCACTTGGGGGCTCGCAGCAACCTTTTGACCATCTCACGAAGCTTCTCGTGTTTCATACTTGTCAATTCGGATACTTGGACAGGAACAAGGGCCCACACTTTTTCACTCAAACCTTGAATAGGCGCAGGTTTGGACGCGCACCACTTAAAGCCCTCAGGGCTCATTTGCCAACACTTCTTAAGCACCAAAGTAGGCCCTTTATACTGCCGCATTGTCCTATTAAGATCTATCAAGCACATTGGTTGTCTGGCTTGAAGTGAGACGCACGGCCTTGTTCTGCACGTGCTGAACCTCGGCCTATTTTAAGCTTCTTTCAAGCTTCTTCAGTTTTGTTTGGGGCATATTCTATTTTGAGCTTCGTTTTGGGCATTCCTGGTTAAGCCTTATCGCCACTTCTCGCACGCATATTTTGGGCTTACTGTGCTGCTTGCTTCTCCCCGCCTTTCTGAACCCCGCGAAGGAGCTCAGTGGGTTGTACGCGAAGAAACATGGGAGATGCTGGCTGATCACTGGTAACAAACGGCTAAAGCGGATTCCTTCACGCTCAGGGATATGAGGCCAGTCACGCAAGTAAGTGCCCAATAGCCATGCTATAGGACCAACAAATCGCCTGACTTCCAGCCCCCCCCCCCCCCGCGGACGGCGCCATGTTGCGGTTGACGGCGCCGCTGCTGCCCCCTCTTGGCCGCATCCTTAGGAAGCAATATGTCCGCTGGATCATGGACATGGACACACTTTAAAAAGGCAAGAAACAATCTCGAATGTCTCCCAGAACTCATTGCATTCCACAGCAGCACTACACGTACGCACCAAGCTGACAACGGCTATCTTTGAACACTTCACGAAACAACATTTGTTTGAGCAAAACACAAACACATCAAGGGCCGCTTGTCACTATGAAACATACACACGGCGCCGGTAGAATAAGGTTGAACCACCGTTCCTGCTCCGTGCAAAAGGAGCGGCTGTATGGAGGCAACATGGGTTGGGGATTGCCCCGGGGCTGTGCAAAGTCCCTTGGCGGTGTAGCTGTCCCTGCAAACCGATCTCGCTTCGTCCCCTCTGTTGAAAGGAATTGTAAGCGCCCCTGTTAAGTCGCATTGGCAAACACTCAGTACCAGTGCTCCAGTTCTTTTGCAACCCAAACGGTGCTGCAAAGGCCCCTTTAACATATTTACATGTTTATTTTGATTCTCGAGTTGAGGCGAGCATCTCCAAAACAACAATCACGGGCGCGTCCTTTTCCATTTCCTCCAGTGATTCTGCCGAGGTCCCCGTGATGCCCTCTTCCTGCTATGTATGGCTTTTTGAAATCGTCAAGTTTTAGAACAGGGCTCGCACCATCTCACACGCACACATGTCCATGCAACATGAACAACCATGATTGTCCCAAAGCCTCAACCGTTGTGAAGGAAAGTCAAGGGGCCCTGCCAGCATGTATGGGAAGGCTCCAAAAAAGAAACAAACACAGGTTTAGTAGCTGACAATCTAGCTTTGGGTCGCAGGGGGCTCTTGGTTGTCCGTAGTAAAGATGTCAATTCTGTAGTTCAAGTCAGTGACAATTACGATGAACACGTAATAATAATTTGCATACTCGTGCCCGTGTTGTGGATCCGGTCACCTTGTTTTAAGGAATACCCAGAACAACACCACCAATTGCACATATCCTGAGTTTCTTCACAATGACTCGCTGATTTGGAATGCTTTGCCAAGGCTCAAGTTGCCCAAACACACTCCTTTCCAAACAGTAAACTTGATTGCCACAAGTTCATGACAGCAGGGAGGCAACACCATTCTGAGCGTCTTAGGAAGGATCTGCAAAGATCACACGTTCACCCAAACTCGGTAAGTTCGCTGGTGGCCCATGGTGGCCCTGTTGGCACCGACTTGGTTGGACTGCGAAGCACCAGCCCTCTTGGGCGCTGGACTCCTCGGGCGCCCTTGCGAGCACCACCTTAGCCACTCGCTAAACGCCGAACAAACGTCAAACCCGACAGTTGGCAAACAACAACAAGGAAGGCGGTTCACTGAGCACATGTGTTTTTGATGCTTTTAAGGGTTTGATGAATGTGTCCAGCCAGCATGCGCTGTCAAAGAGAGCAGTATGCTTATTGTAAACATATGTATATGTGCTTCTAAATAGTATACATGAACATTGATATATACCTGCGGCTTCCGGAGAGTGCATTTTGCTGTTGGCGCAAAGATAGACTTCTCCACCGCTTCGCGAGAACACAATACTTGCCTCGTAGCACAACCATTTCACAAAATGCCACTCCGAAGGCCATCCAATGTGGTAAAGTTCTCCACGCGACCGCCCGCAATGCTCGGCTTGCAACAGTGTCGTTTCGCAAAGAAACGCAGTCTTAATGACGACATTCTAAAACAAACGCCGGACACCGCGCTCTCCGGGAAGCCACAGGTGTATCCACCTCCTTTCAAATAGCGGGAAACAGGCAACACTTGAGAAAGAGCACTAGTTTGCACTGGTCGGCAATACACGGACACTAACAACATTAAACATCCTGAGCTGAAAACCTGTGTTCAGCTGGGCTCTGCGAGTCCAGATCTTTGGTGAGGGACAGCGATATTACTATAAGAAACTCGAACCTTGGAGCCTTGGAGCGACGGAAGGAGCACCCTTGTTCAATAGGATGGCTGGGCGACATTCTGGCCCGTACACTTTTGGCGGACTGTTTCCACAAGCTTTTGCCTCGCACTCTGGGCTGGTAAGCATAGACGAGAGGCTCAAGGTAGACTCCTGCCTGGGTTGTATGCCGTTGATTTTATGCGCGTTTGGCCACAGAAATCCGATCTGGACGAAAACATCGGTGCTGAAGGGGCAGTTTGTGCCTTTCGCTGTGCCGTTGCCGCCTCGTTGTGTCGCCCAGGGCATGCGGCAGGTTTTCAAGCAAAGGGTAGCCTGTTGTTGCATCCACGCTTCCAGTTGGGACACCATTTCTGTATGAGTTACCAAGTGATATCATCAATGTTGGCAATTGAACATCTTAAAAAAAAGCAGGGCCAGCCAGTGTGTTTCTCGCAGAACGCGGTATAATCAAGAAAGGCATCACTTTGCAGCCATCCTGTTGCAATCTATGCTGCCGAAAAGACTTGGAGCAAAAACTGTGAGAAAAACGTGTGAGATTCGTTCGAGTGGTCGGAATCTGTGAAGTGCAATGATTCAATCGTGCATCTTTCAGCAAAACACGGGAATGGACACCAACACACACTCACACAACATAGCAATGTCACAAAGCAGGAACGAGATAAGAATTGACAAGTACGACAACGCAAACACAACACGCACACTGACATGCGCAACACACAATCACAAACACTAACAAGCAAACGGCGTTATTGGAATTGCTTCCTTCTGTATACCACAAGAAGGCATTTACAAGGACTACTCTACCTGGTTGCAGCACAAAGAAGTTGGAAACATGCCTTGATTCCCGCAACAGCCCAGAACCATTACAAAGACTGAAGACAAACAAAGGGATAGACGGACGGATGCAACAAGCATTGCCTCCCTCAACCATGGCCTGTCCATGCAGATCTTTGCGGAACATGTATGCAGTTCAGGCCTCCTTCAAACAGCAACACTAGCTAACAGTGATGTCAAAAAAAAACAAGAACTGAAGGGGTCGCAAGGCAATTTGTGCAAACATCTGGGCCTAGCACTGCCGACTGCGTGGCCCAGGGCGCCTCTTTCCTGGGCAGAGGGGCTCCAGCAGTCAACTTGTTGTGAAACGCTCTCAGTGCTTAGGCCATGCGCTCCATCCAAAGGGGGTCAAACGAGCTTTGCGAGGCGTCTGATGAGTTTCCATGTTGAAAGGGGCTTCAAAAAGAGCATTCATACGGTATCATACGCGCAACAAACTTACAACGGCGGTTTCAGCGGACCCGGTTCCTTCCATGTTTCCCCCGTCTCAAAACATGCAAAGCTTGCATTTGCGAGAAGGATTCTTGGTGAATTACACTGCGTGACCAGCCTGAAATGGGGAACTTCAATGTAGAAAATGCTCATCAACAGCAACATCGCTGCAAAATCTCTCAAACGTCAGCTTGCACGCATCCTGCTCAGTGAAGCATTGACGTTTGGTCCTTGCATAAACAAGGCAGCTAGCATTTGACAGTAGATCGCGCCAGAACATCTTGTGGGCTGCAAATCCTACCAGACGTGGCAACGTGCGCATCTCATACTGAGAACTGTATTTGGCTGGCTCTCAACAAACACAGGCTCTCTGCATCTTGGACATGCATCGCCTCTCGAATAGTTACTAATAGTTGCTAAGCAATTCAAGCAATTGTAATGGTTCGATTGCTCAACGGTAGCAGGGTTGCATCAACCCCCAACTTGCCCAGTGCAAAAGTCAATCGCCAATCGACAACAAACTGCAAGCAGACTACTTCTCTGGAAGATGCCCCTGTGGACCATGAGGCTTTGGCGACGGTTGAGCAGGAAACAAAAAAAGCTGCAGGGTCAGCCGGCTTCAAACAAATGCCTCGGTAGCGAGCGGCCCTGGTTGAGTGGCCAGTGGCACGCAAGAGGCAACTAGATCGGTCGCAAACCAGATGGTTCGTACTTCGACAAATGACAAGCATCAACCCAACTATTGATGCGTTTGAGTTTGAATGTTCGGACACTTTGACGCTGACACCCCGCAAGACCGACGTGAGAGACAAACCGCGGATCGTACTCCATCCGAGGAGCTTTGCTGCTTTGCTGGGAGGACCCACAGGGCCCTTGACCTGGAGCGAAGGGGCCATTCATGCATCAGGTACTGATTTTGCACGTGGGATCAATGAAATGGGATGCGTAGCCCGCGTGCACATGGGTATTTGGATATGCTATGTGTTACAGTTGTCCGTATGCATACATACTTCACATCCATATAGCATATATATATATATAATATGATATATAATATGATATTGATTGACATTGTGAGTTGTAATTCATGTGAACATTGCATGTGAGTGCGCGCACACGCACTCACACACACACACACTCACAACGTATGCAGCACACACAGCCCGAGCACGTCTTGGGCCCGTCCCTTCAAAACTAAGCACCTGTCAGCTGTGACTGAGTTTTCTGCTTACAGTAGTTTTAGGTATACAAGTCCTTCTTCTTCATGACACATTGAACATCACCAAGGGTGCGGTCTCCTCTCTCCGGCCGATTAACAACTCTACAACAGCTAGCCCAACGCAATGCCTGCTACAACTGAAAAATGCTGGATCTGAATTCACGCAATTGGAGGACCCAGTCAATCCAGTCGCGCAAAAAGAACAGGGCATGGCCCGGCATGGCACAAACATATCCCCAAGCGAACCCCAGGGTCTTGCGCAACATTCCAACATGTGCGCGCCTCATGGGGATGCATTGCCTTGAACCCCTTGAAATGCGGCTTCCCCTGGGGATCCAACTGAACCAAGGGAGAGGCCGTCAGTGGGAGCCCTCAGTCCAAATTCCTCCCGTGGCCTGATGTAGCAAGGGCAGGAACTGACGCTCCAGCTCCCAACGACGCCTGGCTCAAAGGGGACGTCCCGCGAGGTTGGAAATCAAGGAAGGGGCATGAAGGGGCTATTTGTTATTATTCGTTTCCCATGCACCTTGTTGTGTAAAATATGTCATGTCCCGAGCCTTGACAGTAGCGTGTCGGGAAGAACAAGATTGGCCGCATATCAACCATTGACCTTGCATCAGTTGCATCCTGGCTTGATCTCTCCGTCTGCTCATGGGCCGCCCTGAGAGATCACGACAGAGCTTTGGCCTTGCTGGAGCTTTCTGAGTTCGGCCGGCACGAACCATTTGCAGGGGTTTGCAATCTTGTGATTATGCCACGTGGCGTGACCGTCTCATTTTGCATAGAAAGGGTGGTGCCATGTTTGTCCAACTGGCTTTGCTGACGGGCGCCTATTCCGTGTCAGTTGAAGCCGCAGGCTGTTGATGGCCTCCTTCTCGCTGTCTCGGTCAGTTCCTGGCGCTGGAAAAGGGGCTGGTGGCGCGGGCACTTTGTCTCGATGGCCCTCTTCAGGTTGGCTTCCCTCCGCATACGGTGTTAACCCTTCATTCGAGCCTTGGTCCCATCCACGAATAGTGAATATTAAACAAATCTAAATATGCATGAACCACAACGAACAAGGTCTTCCAAACAATGGCAAAGCAGTTGGAGGATAAGGAAACATCGCACATCCGCCTCTGATTCATCTGTAGTCTGTGCACCAGAAGCAAGTCCCAAAAATGGGCGCCCTAAACTTTGACGTGCTCCTTTCAAGGGATTGACCTGTGCAGCCCAAGAAGTACATCCCTGAAGGAAGCCTGGAGAATGTCCAAATAAACCTGAAGTAGCGCCCAAGTAGCATCCATAGGGATGCAGGTTTTGGGGTGTGCAAATTCGACCGACAGGCCTATCCATTTCATCTGATCCCTGAGCTCTTCCAGCTCCATGATCAGCTGGGCGAACCTCGGACGGGTGACAAGTCAGCCCAAACCTGCCACATTGAAAAAGGAAAAACGACAAACAAGCGGGGTCGAAGTTCAGGAGGGACTCTATCGCTCTGGTGAACATGAGTACAGGGTGTTCCACAACGCAACCAACATGTACTGTGTTTGAGGTGCTAAAGCACTTCCAGCAGACTGGATGAGCCGTCCCTGTGACAGTTGAAGAATGAGGGTCGACCGAGATGTTGTGTTTGATATGTTTGCGCATGTACGTAACGCAGGTTGTTGAACCTCTGAATTTATTGCCCGAAGTGGGTTCGTATGGCCTGACAAGAGCGTGTGCTTGTTTGGGGTAGACTCCAAATCAAATGATGTCAGTGATTGCATGATGTGGCCCCTGCGAACAGCTGCCGATCACGATGCCTACTATTTGGTCCAGTTAGCAATGCCCCATTCAAATGCAGAATGCACCCCAGGATGAAGATACTAAAACATATTATCGCCCCTGACATCACCCATCCCTTCTCTCACATGACAGGTGGACTACATTTCAGCACCTCTCTCACATGCTCGTCTGAAGGGGCAGGTCTCCAAAGCCATGTGCCTGGTCAACCAGGAAGGAGGGGAGTAATCGCCTGAAAACTGCTCACGGCATCCAGTTCTCTATCCATGGAGCTGTAGCTTGTGATGAGCTTGGCGCGGATACGCAATGGCATTTGGTGTGTATTGAATTTGGGGTCGAGTTGGAGGCCTGCACAGGCAGGCCTTAACTGTATATATGTTCTTGGGATTCTTGGGGCCCCTTGCCACAATGAAGCGCCAATTCCGGGCAAATGACAAGGCCACTGCCTCCTTCCAACACGACTCAGGATGCCGAGCCCATCTTCTTACGGGCGTGTCACTTATTGATTTGCAACCCGATGACAGTCCTTCTGACCGGTTGCCACTATCAACAATGTGTGTGTGTGTGTGTGTATCTGTGTCTGTATGTGTGGGCGCGTGTTTGTCGAAACTAGGAATCTGTGCACGGTTGTTTGAAACATAGAGGAATGGTTGCCAGCGCCGTTCAAATAAAACCTGGCTAGGACAGCTTCTTCTTTGACTCGGCCCAATTCGTGGTTGGCCTTCTTGTCAAATTCCTCTTCTAAATTACGTTGTCCGAAATCCCCATGCCTCCAATTGTCAAAGGCACAACCCCGGCAAATGTTATTCAAACTTCAGATCAAAGGTCAACCGATGATAACCGAATCAACCGAATCAACCGAATCAACCGAAACCATCCAGAGCGTTGACCGCCAGGGCCCGGAGCTCTGAGCTCTGAGGTCCCGGGCTTCTCTGGGGAGATGCAGCTGCCCGGCTGTCGCTGGGAGGCCTTCACTGCAGCCTCCTGCACGCAACCCGAAAGTTGAGGCCGTGGCCGCCGTGGCCCGACACTTGACTGAACGGCAAGTCGCCTATCTATGGACATCTCTGAACAAATAGTAAATAGGGAAAACTCTTGGACATGTCGAAGACCAGTACTTGGAGACAGCGTTGCGGGGCCATGTGTCCCATAGTCAGTCACACTGCAACAACACCTCTGCGCCACGCGGAAGCAGAGTTTCGGCGCCCCGCATATCCAGAAAGCCTTGAAGTGGAGTATGCTGTTTGTGTGCCTGACCTTCCTTGTCCTTCCCTGTCATGCGCCTTGCCCAGTTACATGATGGCTTGAAGATTGTCTTTCGTCTGCTGCTCCCATCAGACAGACCTCAAGAGCTGTTGGTGGGTGGATGACAGGCTGGGGAAGACTACTGCTCACCCTCAGATTTTTGTAGCCCATATGCTTAAGTTTCCGTGAGGGGATGAATGCAACGGAATTCTCTCGGAATTCTCTGAACTGCATTGCTGGTAAATTCTCAATACCAAATTGAACACTCAAGAAACAATGTTGGCGTTTCTCCATTTCCTGAAGCAACTGGTATAGCCATACATCTGCTGCGATGTGTCTACTCTGAGCCATTCTCCCGTCCTTCATGTGCTTTGCAGAGGTCAGGGCCTTGCAATGCCGTCTGCAGTGACTCTGCAGCTCAATGACTCACACAAGTAGTTTTACGAGCGCATTGTCACGGTCTTGGCCATTCAGCCTTCACCTGACTTACTAAACGTGCGAGGACTGCACAAAACGCATTGGTGGCTTTTCATCTTCGTTGGAGGCACTCAACTGGAGGGAGGTGCATCATAATCAAAAACGATTAAAACCTGATTCGGTGTTGGATTCCAGAGGCATGCGGCATGCCTCTCGAGAAGCTTTGCCGCTTTGGAACATGATGCGAGCCTCACGCTTAGCTCAATTTGGGCTCGGCTTCCAACTACACCCGGACAAGCATGCACAGGGCAGGCAAGACAAACATATTGGACGGTCAAGGAGTCAAGGATGTCAAACATCTTGCGAGAACATTGAACACCAATGTTTGGACGAGTATCTGAGCAACAAGCAGAAGCCCCAAAGGTGACTGGACCAACTATGCCTGGGTGACGCACTCCAAAGGAGTACAGGGCAAAGAGATCCCGCTCTCTTCCAGCCGTCCTGGTATTACTCAGGCCTATGCACGCTCTGAGTTGAGATTTGAAGTTCAGATTGGTCAACGCCCACGGCAACAAAGTTACACCCAACAAACCAATCAGTTGGCATCGCGGGCAAACATGAATATGCCAAGCGGCATTCTGCAACTCATCCGCGAGGGCTTGGATTTTCGCCAGCAGCTTTAGCCGGTCCTCCTCTGCATCTTCCTGTGGCACGAAGGGCTGACGTTACGTACACTGAGCTGAAAGGCACACCCAAGAAGACCAGAAGTGCCAACGATCCATGTCGCTCATCGCCACTCGGGCGCGCTACCATTGCGCCACGGGCCCTTCAGATTGCAGCGCGAGCTGTTCTCCACACGTATCTCCCGAGCATTTCATGGAAAGCAACACAACCCAGTACGTTTGAGTGGAGTGGAAGTGTCCACAAAACACAAGGCATCAAGTCAACACCCTCAGGGGACATGGTACCAAACCTTACCATGTAAGCCTCAAACAGGGACTTGGTTCAATGGCGCCCTGAACTTCATACAGGGATTCCCCACATTGGCGTGCATTCATTAGCTGACTGGCTGACAGCAAAACAATAGGAAGAACTTCTGGTGTGTAAGCTTCTCCGACATCAAGCAAGATGCGCTCATTCTCCCATGGAGTCTGGCAGAAGCACCCTCTGCTGGCTCTGTTTGGAGGCTTACAAATCACACTATCCTTGTAGTACGCCTGGACAACAGCCCGGCGACTGCAAACTCTCCTGTCGCATTGCTTACTTGCAGTGTGCTGGTGCTGGGGGCCGATTGGCTCATGGTATTGATCAAAAGGGTTGGCCAAATGGCCAACGCTCAATGATGCGCTGCACCCTTTTGCATGGTCAAGCGTTGCAAAAAAAACTGCCCAAACCGAATCCTTGTCGCCTTGAAAGTGAAAAGCTCACCCGCCTTGACCCGAATGACGTTTTCTTTCTCCTCCTGCACTTCCTGCAAGGCGAGGTAGAATTCAAGTTGTTCTGGCAAACAACCCAGCAAATGAGTCGTGCCAATGCTCCAGTGGATCCAGAAACAAACACAGTACCCAATGAACATGCCCACAATCTACCTCGGCGGCTTTTCAGAAGTCGAAAAAGCCTCAGCCTCAGGCAAATCGCGCCAATATGGAAACATCATCATTGATCTTGCGAAGACAGCGAGGAAAGGGGTCAAGAACCAGGGCGGGTTGAGCTGTGGAGGGTTAGTCTTGCCAATAACAACTGGGGCTCTTCAATCTGCAACCCCTCGCATGAAATATACATGGCTATATGTGACTATGAAGGGCCCCTCCAAGTGGCTCTACGTTTTTTTCCCCAAACAGCGAAGCATTGGGGTTCTAACTTGAGGTATAGAGCATAGGAAAGTGTGACGCCGATTGCGGGGTCCTAATTTCGTCAGATGCCAGATGCTGTGACGCTGGCTCCACTGGCTCCGGGGTTGTGTCTCCCATCTCCCGTTTTTTGTGACGCTGGCTCAGGGGTCGTGTCTCCCGCTTGTCTCCCAGTCTCTGCTCGGATGCCAGATGCTCTGACACTGGCTCCGGGTCGTGTCTCCCGCTGTCTCCCAGTCTCTGCGGGCGGGCGCTGGCTCCGGGGTGGCTTGTCGCACAGTCTCTGCGGTTGGACGCCTCCGGGGTCGTGTCTCCTGCTTGCCTCCCAGTCTATGCGGTCAGATGCCAGACGCTGTGACGCTGTTGTGTCTCCCGCTTGTCTTGCAGTCTCTGCGGTTTGATGCCAGCAGGGTCCGGGGTCGCTTGTCTCCCTGTGTCTGGATGGCCAGACGCTGTGACGCTGGCTCCAGGGTTGTGTCTCCCGCTTGTCTCCCTGTGTCTTCCATCTCCCGTTTTTTGTGATGCTGGCTCCGGGGTCGTGTCTCCCGCTAGTCTTCCAGTGTCTGCGGTCGGGCGCCAGATGCTGTGACGCTGGCTCCTGGGTGCCAGACGCTGTGACGCTAGCTCGGCGGTGACGCCAGCTGCGTGTCTCCCGGCCCCTGCGGTCAAATGCCAGATGCTGTGACGCTGGCTCCAGGGTCTCCCGCTTGTCTTTCTGTGTCTCCCGCTTGTCCCTCTGCGGTCAAATGCCAGATGCTGAGACGCTCCCTGTGTCTGTATGCCAGTGCTGGGTCGTGTCTCCCAGTCTCTGCAGACGCTGTGACTCCCCCCTGTTTCTCCCGGTCTCTGCGCTCGTTGCTGCCAGCTGGCTGCTTTCCTGCTTACAGCAAAACCAACTGAACCTCAAGTCAGCAGGAACCACTTGCAACAATGTTTCGCAACGGGGAAAGGGCATGTCGCAGATTTTGCTGCAAGCCTGCGTGCAAAGGATGTGCCTCTCTCTTGGCCAAGCGCAGGTTTGCATCCTTGTGGAGCATCGTTGGAGCTAGAAGAATGACGGCCTCCGGTCGTTCACCACACATGTGAACACCAATCTGCGAACCATAAGCGCCAACTCCAAGATGAACCCGGCCAAGTTGGTGGTGTCCACTGTGCAGCCAGCATTGGTAAGTTGGGGCAAAGTTCTCACACGTTTCCGCGATGGAGCAGGGCTGGAGCTGACATTCAAAGCCAAGCTTGTTCCGGAATGGAGCGGCGTTGGGCGCATGGAGCAAAGCCACGCGTTGGCCATCTTGGGAGTGCGGCGCGCTGGACACGACAGAGATGAAGACCCTGGATGACCAAGCTACTGCTGGCTCAAACACTGAGGATTTTCTGGAGCTGCGCCGGGTGACAGAGGTGCGCGCCAAACGGGATTTGGCGCGGCGTGTGTCTGCGTTGCTAGGCGAGGATGTCTCGGCCGTAACGCTACAAGGCGCAGTCTGCAAGTTTATGCAAGCGCTCTCTTGCTTTGCTTGTGGCAAGACCTTTAACCGAGCTCGAGAAGAAGACAGCAACCAGAAGTGACATGTGTCCAGTCTCGGCCGCAGGCTGCTGAGACTAATGCGCAAGTTTCAGCAGAGTAGCGAGACGGCCACCAAATGCTGCGGTGATGGAAAAGTGCATTGAGTGTCCGTACGAAAGTTCCTTCGAAACTTCCTTGAATCACCTCGAATCCCCGAACATGGCATTGACATGGAGTTTTCTCCTCAAAGTCGATTAAAAACATCAATGCTTTTACCCGGCGTCAAAAAAATGGATGGACCCGATGCGTCCTCTTCCCGAAAAAAGGGGACTTCCTGCAGGGACATACATGGACTGATTGTAACTATGTGTTGCTCACATAAGCTACACAAGTTCGCACCTTACATGAAGGAGACACGCCTTTTTTGGGCTATACAGACCGGTCATGTTTTTTTGCTGTTTGGGGTCGAGGCTGGTGTAATTTTAAATAAATTTTCTATGATCATCGAGCAGCAATCGTTCTGTCCAGGAAACCCACGAAACTTGTCGACCCGTTTGATTCCTGGCGGAGCACGATGATCACTTGCTCCTTCTTCTCCAGTTCCGCAGGGACCTCCCAGCCCATCGCTGACGTTTTGACGCGGGGTGGAGACGAACGTGGGGGCTCGTGGCGCTCACCCCGAACGCACCCTTGTCCCGTTCCAGACCGTGAGCAACTGGGGGCAATGTGGCACGGACCCTCGTGTAGACTGATGCCTCTGGCTGGTTTCATCCGTGAGGGCCATTGAGGACCCAACTGCAAATCATCCAATAGTGCCGCGGGTTTCTATTGCATTGCGCAAACACGGTGTACTTCTGACACCGTCTTAAATGCAGGCAGGACCAGCGCGGAGATTCGTAAGCTGTGCATCGACCAAGTTGAGCTCCCTGATCCCATGCATTGCATGTGATGTACATACAGCATCACCTACCGGCAAGCACTACGACTGCTTTGTCCAGGGAGCCCGCGCTTGGGAAACTTCTTTGCATAGCCATGACCGTGTGGCATGTTCGAGCTGATCTCCTCAAATCAACATGGCAACTCAAAAGCGATTGCATTCGAAAACGCCGCCCGAATTAAGAAGTGCTGGCCAGCAGAAGCAGTAATTAAAACTTTGATCGCTCCGCGCTCAGGATCCCCCATACTTGCCCGCAGACTGATTGGTCGATCCGCCCGTCAGCATCGCCTTAGTCGCCTGGCGCGCAAGGCGAGCAACCGTGCAGGGACAAGCTGTGCGAACAGCTAAAAACACTTATTGACACATACCAGACCTGGCAGGGCTGTCACAGAGCTTCATAACTCCTGAAGGGACGGTTGAGAGTTGACACATACCCCACCCTTTATGCTCGAACGCCAGTCCCCAAGTGAATCAATAAAAACATATACCACACTTTTTTAGGTGGAACTACTGAATCACTGCCATACTGGGACGCCAAGCTCAAAGACCAAGCCTTGGCTCTCAAACAAAAGCACAGTTGCGATGAGAGGCCCCTGCAGTCACATGACAAGTCCAAGGCGGCTGATTCTTGGTATCTAAAGTGAGAGCCTGCTCCGGGAATCCTGGAAGGTACGCTAGCTTGCCTTGAGCGCATCCATAGGCCGAAAAGTAAACCGTTACTTCCAAAGCCGTGGATTTATATACATATTATGTATATAAATAGCTCTCTTCACTAACAATGCTTGCGAGGATTTATAAAGCAAATCAGGCCAAGCAAGCCACAAACCGGATGATAGCCCTCCTCTGCTTTCGTCTGGGCCGTGGCCAAACCCTCCCTCACTGTCTCCTTGGCCGCCTCCACGCGCTCTTCACCTTGCACAGGGAAGCCAACCTTGTTGGTTGTTCCGACCTGGAGTACAACAGCCTTGAAGAGACGCAGAATCCCTGGCGGCAACCAATCGTTGGGAGAACGTCAGAGCACCATGTTCATGTCGTGATGCGCAAGTCTTTCTGATCAAGTCCAAAGCAAAAGTACGGTAATCATACCTTTCTGGGGATGCCATCTACTGGGGCGTCGAATACCCTTTGCTGTTTAGGGATGGCTGCTGGCATCTGCTGGCAGCTTGTGCCTGGTTCGCATAGATACAAGTAGTTTAGGATGCAGGGCAAATTCCATGCAAACAAATGGATTGCCCATGTCTGTTGGAGAGTCGTCCAAGTTTGCTCCTTCTGTAAATCAGTCCCCTGTTGAAAAAGATCTCAACAGGTGACTTGCAGATCCGAAGCCTTGCGCCCATCAAATGCGCTTGAGCATTTCGGGGCTCCATTTGAGCTAAACTGCGCTTTGACTTTCGCGACGCGCCGGATGTGGACGTGCTAGATTGTATTTTACCTATGGAGAAGGTTGCAAAGTGCCAAGTGGATTACTTTTCCATCACCTACACCCTTAGAAGCAAACAGGGAAGTCCACAAACCGTATGGATCAAGACAAGGCAAATCAAGCCGAATTGAATCAGTCGTTTCCAGTTCAGCGCGAGGCAAGCCGTCAGGTCAAGTAAAGCCTCGCAAAGTGAAGCCAAACCAAGAAAAGTCCGGCACCCAGATCCAGTGAAGTCGGGGCAGCCCAAGTTGATTTCCTTACAAAGTTGTACAAGTACACAGTCTACCCATGTGGCTTGCTTGTAATAGTAGGGAAATATCTGTATCAATTGCTTCAGCCATTTTCACAAAAAGACCCGGACCCTATGCCTGCCAATTTGCGTGGGGAATTCGGTTCCCCACCAAAAAACTTTCGGGTAAGGCAGCTTGATGCGCGTGCTGAAAGGGGTTTGGGCCATCTAAGCAGGAATGAGTCTTGGCCGCCAAGAGGAAAGGGCTTGAACTGTTTTCGGGAAAAACTTTACTATGAAGTCGCCTCTTCTGTGCGAGCGAAATACGTTGTTCTGAGCGCCCAAATTCTGCTCACAATTTGGCAGATTGGGCTTGCAATTACGGCAATTGCAAGTTTTCACAAAGAAAGCAGTGACCTGCAACAAATCCTGCATGGGCACATGTTTTAGGGTTTTGGCCACACGCTACATAATACGGAGCAGAACGTTGAGGCCCCAGGTTCCCCGTGAACCAACTCCGAACAAGCTCCGTACAAGCTCCGAACGAACTCCGAACGAACTCCGAAAAAAACTCCGAACGAACTCAGAACGAACTCCGAACGAACTCCGACCGAACTCCGAGCAAACTCCGGACAAACTCCGAATGAACTCCGAACGAACTCCGGGCGAACTCGGAACAAACTCCGAACAAGCGAACAAGCTCCGAGCGAACTTTGGCATTGTTCCCGAGCCAACTCCGAACACACTCTAACCATAAGTATGTTTTTGAGCCTGAGGATTTTGGTGGCTAAGCTTTTTTTTTTTTTATCCGGGCTTACCAAAAGAGGCCAAGTGATTGCAGGGGCCAGATTCAACAAGTGGCCTGGGAAGGTGTTTTTTGAGGCACACAAACATGTTCTCAGGCCACTTGTTGAATTTGTCCTGTTGGTCACTTGATTTTGCTATGTTTCGGGCTGGATTTACTTCCCGGACAAGCGCCAAACAAACCTTGGCCATATGTTTCTTTGGGGGAGCTGATTTTTGTGTTTCAGCCTTAAGTTTCAGTTTTTCGGCTTTTTTTTTCCAGGCCGTGATTTTTGCTTGTTATTTTTTTCGGGGCTTAATTCTTGCCCCGGACGAACTCCGAATGAACTCCGATTTAACTTTGGCCTTAAGTTTTTTTTTCTGGAGATTTTTTTCCGGTGTTGAACTTTTTGGGTTTTGGTCGTACAAAAACACTGGAACTACAGCTTGTTGATGCGTTTTTCGTATAAATTCAGTGTTGCCAGGGCAAAACAAACCATTGACACATGCTTAATCCAGGTTTTTCATTAAAAAAAGCATCAGCTATTTCATACGACCAAAATCGGGCAAGCCCTTACAAAAAAGCGGGCAAACCCTTAAGTTCAACACCGGTGTTGAACTTAAGCCTTTTTTGGAATAAGGTTTGTTGCCCGGATTCAGCCTTGATCAAACATATTAAGCTTTGTTAGCGAGCCTCAGCGCCAACCAAGCTGCGTGATCACCCGGCAGCGATTTTAGCCCTCCACAGCTCTCAAGTCCTACAAATCCGGCCCTGAACGCCATCCCAGGCCACTTGTTGAAACTGGCCCCTGCAATCACTTGGCCTCTTTTGGTAAGCCCGAAAAAAGGCCAAACAATAGTTTGCTTGTGGCCAAAGTGTGTTCGGAGTTGGCTCGGGGGTTTGTTCGGAAATCAAGCAATGACAAAGTTCGCTCGGAGCTTGTTTGCTTGTTCGGAGTTTGTTCCGAGTTCGCCCGGAGTTTGTTTGGAGTTCGTTCGGAGTTTGCCCGGAGCTTGCTCGGAGTTCGGTCTGAGTTCGTTCTGAGTTCGTTCTGAGTTCGCTCGGAGTTGGTTCACGGGGAACCTGGGGCCTCTGAGACATGCCTACCAAGAAAAACAGTTCTGCTCCGTATTATGTAGTGTGTGGCCAAAACCTAAAAACTGTGCCCATGCAGGATTTGTTGCAGGTCACTGCTTTCTTTGTGAACACTTGCAATTGCAAGCCCAGAATCTAGCCAAAATGCGAGCAGAATTTGGGCTCAAGAACAACGCACTTTGCTCGTACAAAAGAGGCGGCTTCATAGTTAAGTTTTTCCCGAAAACAGTTCAAGCCCTTTCCTCTTGGCGACCAAGACTCATTTCTGTTTAGACGACCCCACACCCCTTTCAGCAGGCGCGTCAAGCTGTATTACCCCTAAGGCTTAGCGCGCAAAACCAGCCTGGTCCCCTCCCAAGAAAGAAAATTGATTCCTGTTTGTAGAAAACTGGCATCAATGGTACACTTTGAGGCTTGCTGCAAAATCTGTGTTTTTGTTTTTTGGTTTTGGCAAACCCTTAAGTTTGAGTAAAAAGCCCTTCTTCTTTTTTAGGACCTTAAAACACCCAAATCCCGAGCGAACTGACCTGACCCATGAAATTTGGCACCTATGCCTGTCTGCCCCTTGCCCTTCGCCTGAGTCCTCATGTCTTTCGGACCGGCAGCCGCTGACCACAAACTCGGTGGTGGCCTGACGCGACAAAAGACCTTCTACTTGAAGCATGGAACGCGGATTTTCCCTGAGATGCAATAAGAAGAAGGCCCAATCAGAACCAGAACAAGGCTTGTTTCAAGAAAGCAAAAGGGATACTTCTTTCTGCATGCATGCCCATGAGCCCCACCTCGGTCTGTTTTTTGTCAGCCCTCGAACGAATAATTATGGAAGGACACATATCCTTTCCAACAGGTTGGTGCATGTGTACACTGCGTGCCCCAATCTTGACTTCGGTAGGAGTTAGAACAAAACTTGTTCTGGCAGTTGGACCTGCCTTGGGATCCCCTCATTGTTGAATCATTGTCATACGGCTCCGAAGGTTCGGTCTAACTCAATACATCGCATCTGCGTAATTACGACGAGCAACAAACAAACCACAAATACGTGGGCCTGCCTCATAGCCCTGCAACGTCTTCTGCTTCATGAAGGAGCAGCCCTGGGAAAGCTGCTCCCAGAAGCTGGGGCAATGCTCTTCCGGTGCTGCAGTGGCGGCTTTCACCTTTGTAGCAGCGCTGAAAACTTCCGACAGGAACATTGAAAAGCAACAAACACAACAAGAACAACAGGTAAAGAAGAAACTGCATATTGTAGTTTATGTCCCGACCACATTGCATACTGCCTCAATATTGGGTATGTCAAAGACCTATTGCAATTCTGAAGGACGGGGCCAGGGGAGCATGGTCAGAAGCAAACAATTGCTTCGCCAGCAGAAAAAGGCACGGCCGGTCCAACTCCAGCTGAATAGACAGCTATGGCCAGCTCAAAGCCTGGGAACTTCCCGTCCCGTTGGCTTCCTTTTCTTCCAAGCTTGGGTTCCTCCCATCAGGACGCACAACAGCTCGGTTCAATGGACAAGTTGCCTGCTCCTTGGCCGCCTGGTATCCTTCCACGGTCTTGTCCTGGGCGGTCTGCAGGCCCTGCTTCATCTTGTCCATCATGGAGGGCCCAGAGGAAGATGACGACTCCTGGCAGGCTGAACAGCCCTAATATGCTTTCGTTCAAATTGAATAATTTGGCCAGTGAAAGCAAACCATATGATTACATACATATACATGTAACATCATTTAGTATATGTACCTGTTTATGTATTTATGTAATATCGTATTGTGGTATTAGTACATATGCTAAACCCATGCTCCTCGGCGGTGGCAGCCTTCACCTGCTCCTTGGCAGCCTCATAGCCCTGCATCGTCTTGTCTTGCCTCGGGGGTCGGTGAAAAACACGGAGTGTCTACGGGTTCCCCACAAACAAATCCTTATAGCCTTGCTTAGGGCCTTAGGGCGATTCTCTAACTTCCGACATCCAGGTTCCTGGCAACCTTTGCAAGATTCCGCGACTCGTCAATCCCGAATGAACCAAGGACCGCAATTTGTATATAGCCGAAGATTCAAGTCCATGGTCGTTTGGGCCTGATGCCGCGGACAAACATCTGTGTTGTCTAGTTTCCGCGACCAAACGCTAGCAGTTCCAAGGACCGGGTGCTTGGACAACCGAGGTGATCCCCGATCGTAATGTTTGCCGCTGCCTCCCCACGAGCCCAACTGGGGCCAGGTGAGGTGTCCCCAATTTAAGCCCAGGGTGGTTGGTGTCAGACGGCGCCTCCGCCCTTTCAAGGACCACCGTGTTCGCTTCACATTAGCACGGGCTCTCAAAATCAGGGATCGCAAAGGAGGGTCAACAGCCATGGCCCCTCCAAATATACCCAAGTGACCTAGCGATCAACTGCTGAGAGTGCACTTAGATACCTTAGACAAGGTAGCCCACTAGGGAAGCTAACATAAGAGAAAGACTGAAAGAGAAACCTGCACCCAACTCCAAGCGGCGCTGTGGCAGCGCCCTGCTTCATCCTCTCGAGCAGAGTGGGCCCACCTTCGGAAGTCTCGGCAGGGGAGGCTTTCACCTGCTCCTTTGCGGCCTCATACCCCTGCACCGTCTTGTCCTGAGCGCTGGAGAAACCTCGCAGGCCGGAATGCCGGGAAAAGATCGCGGCATGTTGCATACTCATGCCAGAAGTTGGTCAATGGGGTCGGGCGAACTGGTGGCTACATGCATCATGTGCTGGTCTTGGTGTGCTGGTGGATTCACCGCTCAAGGCTTTCTCTCCCTACGTCCCTACGCCCGGCATGAAATTTGTGTGCGCAATCCAAAGAAATCGTGGCGCGGGTCATCATAAGCTTGCATCTAGGCATATTTTAACATCTGCAGAGCCGAGGCCCACACCTGACCCCAATATATAATTGGTGAATACGTTTGCATCGCGTTTTGGATTCCGAGGGGTCGAGCCGAACATGCTCATGGAGAGTTTGGATGGGCTGGCTTCCTGGAACACAGGTACACCGGGAAATTACTCCCTTCGGTTGGTTGGCTGGGTGGTTGGTTTGGTTGGCCTGCCTGGTTTCATTGAGGGTCGGTAGAAACTGTGAGTGGCGACAACTTTACCCACGGCGACTTGGAGCCGTGGGCAATGGTTACCCACTCCGTATCAGACGCTCGGAGGAAACCAAGACCAACTTCAATGCAAAGGAAAGACCTCCAGGCAAAAACGGAAGTAAGCTCTTATGATTCATTTGGGTGCCTCTTTTGGGAAATAGGGGCAGAGGGGCTTTTCGTGGTGTTCCCTCTACCAGTCATATTGCCAATTGCTCCCTTGGAAACAATCAGGCCCCAGTGAAAAGAGGATGAGCCAGCAGTCACCTTCGCCAGGGAGCCATGCCGAAGCTTATCCCAGAACGAGGTCTTCTCCTGATTCCAGGCCAGAGTACCCAGCATAAGTACCAAAACAGAGCCGGAAAGCGACACCTCGCAAAGCCTGGCATTTGCTCTTGCGCCCCTTAAAATGTTGTCCGGTGATGCATCAATCGAATGATTGATCGGGGCTCGTTCCATCCACAGCTAAGCGCTCCTTGGTTGGTTCCTTGGCAGAGGTCTTCTTGGCTGCCTCCACTCCCTGTTGCGCTGAGTCCTTGGCGGCCTCATAGCCCTGCGCCGCCATCTCCTTGGACCGCACGGCGGTGGTCCCCCCAAATAGGCAGTGCACCGGAGCATCCGACTTCAGGCAAAAACATAATGAATGGCAGTGGTTGGAGTGGTTGACTGAACAACCTAAACTCACCCTTGACACGTCAACTCTCTGCATCAGAACACGTAATACGACGTGTTGAATGATGAAAATGCAAAAAACATCCCCTCCTTGGAAGCCTCGTAGGCCTCGGCAGTCTTTTCCTGCGCGCTCTCCAGGCCCTGCTTCATCTGCTGCGTGCTGTCAGACGCTTGGGCCTCACTCATCTTCTCCTTGCCGGTGGCGTGGGCCTGCTCTGCTGTCTCCTTCGTGGTCGCATAGGCTTGGCTTGCGGCATCCGTGCTGGCGGTGTAGGCCTGATCCGCAGTCTCCTCGGCCAAGGGCAAACCATTCGCACGAAGCCAACCTGGACCAACGTTTCACTGAAATCCGACACGGCGTTTGCTCAAACTTGCCATGCGCATACAGCCCATGTCAATGTGAATTTGTGAATCGACCACCAAGAATTAACCGTAATTAACCTTTCTTGCAGCCAAGCCCGCTGAGCAATGAGCCGCTTGAGAAACCAGTCTCTTCAAGTTTGCCCAGAGCTCACTTCAAACGTCACTGACATCAACATCTGTGAGACTGATCTGGGCCTGCCACCACAAGTCCTGTTTTGAGTGGCAGGGCATTCAATGGCTGTGAACTCGCCCTGTCTATGAATACTATAGGTTTGTTTTCTGTATGCACACGTCTCTTTTCCTTCCTTCTTCCTGCCTTCCTTTCTTTGTTTAGTTCACTATTTATTTTTTTCATATTTGTTCCTGACTTTCTTAATTTCCTTTCTTACTGCAATCCTTTCTTTTCCTTATTCGTGGCTTTTCTCTCAAAGGCTGAGCTACTTGCAGTTGAATGGCAACCTCAATAACTGATTGCGTGTCAAACTCATTGAGCTACACATGTTGTATACATGCTACAAATTGTCAACGCAATGTGTCAACGTGTTGTCAATCTGAGATCACTCAACAACACAATACAGTACACTATCCTGTTCATACTCGGAGCGTTTCTGGCCTCAGGGTTCGCCTCTGAAATGGCCGAAAACATCGCACAAACCGCCATGCTGTTCTGCGCTGTCTATTGTCTGTCCTCCTCAAACTCAATGACTGACAAGAAGCATTGCTGAGAGATGGGTGTTCTGTCGAGGGGTGCGTCACTTCTGCCGTTCCAGTTTCTCCTTTCTCAAGCTATTGCCTGCTTACGCCGAATTGCCAAATTGCAAAATGCTGCCAAGGTGAAAGCAGGCTGTGCAGGCTATGAGTAGGAGAAAAGTAGGAGATACCACAACCGTCTTGCAGAGTTCCTGCAAGACGGATTTTTGGAGATACAGCCGGCGAGGCATTTCAGATTCAGGGCAGCCAGGCGGCGAAATATTTGCAAACTCTCTTCACCAGCGCCGAGATCGTGGTCCTTCACTGTTTCCAGCGGCGAGATTCTTGGCTGGCAACACCAATCGCGGCGAGATACTCTAGGAGTAGCTCTCCGCCCAGTCCTGCCCTCGAGAGCCAGAAATCTCTCCAACTTGGGCCTGGTGGCGACCCCCTCAAAGTGGAGAGCTACTCCCAGAGTGGAGAGCTACTCTGGGAGTAGTGTGTGGGGTCTTACTGAGTGCTTCAGGAACCAACACAATCTTAAGGGCCAAATCAGCCCATGAAAGACCCCACAAATAGGAGCGGAGAGCTACTCCCAGAGTAGCTCTCCACTTTGAGGGGGTTGCCACCAGGCCCAAGTTGGAGAGATTTCTGGCTCTCGAGGGCAGGACTGGGCGGAGAGCTACTCCTAGAGTATCTCGCCGCGATTGGTGTTGCCAGCCAAGAATCTCGCCGCTGGAAACAGTGAAGGACCACGATCTCGGCGCTGGTGAAGAGAGTTTGCAAATATTTCGCCGCCTGGCTGCCCTGAATCTGAAATGCCTCGCCGGCTGTATCTCCAAAAATCCGTCTTGCAGGAACTCTGCAAGACGGTTGTGGTATCTCCTACTTTTCTCCTACTCATAACCTGCCCAGCCTGCTTTCACCTTGGCAGCATTTTGCAATTTGGCAATTCGGCGAAAGCAGGCAATAGCTTGACAAAGGAGAAACTGGAACGGCAGAATTGACGCACCCCTCCCACAGAACACCCATCTCTTATCAATGTTTCTTTGACTTGCATTGGCCTCACACGCGTGATATAGGGCTGCCCCACGATCTGGGGCTACGTATGAATTACGCGCCTCTTGGCCTTGCAAGCACGGGCCATACAATTTGTATGCCAGACACGTCGACGCTTGCTCAACATATCCTGTTGGGTCACAGTAAGTCACGGCTGCTGGGAAATCAACTTGCCACTGACCGGCCTCGACAACTGAACCCCCCGAGGTCTCCTGAACCTTCTTCTGCATGTCTGCGCTCTGAGACATCGCTCCGAGCACTCAACGGGAGACGCGGTTCACCTTCAGATCCGGGGCCTAGAATTTGCAGGTTTTCGGGCCGAAAGGAAGCGGCGACAGAGCAAAGCGGAGGTGCCCTCTGGGTATGGTCGCAGTTCCCTTCTTTGAAACACGACATGCTCATCTCAATTGATTCTCATTGCATCCGTGACAATGACTATCTGCAAGATCACAACTCGATCGCACCAGGCGGCACCACACTTTTGCTATCCGCAGCTGTTGCCAACTCAGCAGCAAGCCGCAGCTCTCGCAAGTTTGAGCAGAAGTGCAGCAGAGACTGTTCACACGCTGCAGAGCAGTTCCCCAACTGAAGTCAACATTGCTCATCAACACAGAAGGATAGTTCATCCGAGGTTTGGGGAACCTATTCACCGAGCACTGTACCAGATTGCCAAAACCATGCTGTACAACAGGCCAGTTGGATCGACTGGCCAACCAGTCAGGAACCACCAGCCCTTCCCTGCTGACCTTCCTCGGACTCAAAGGCGCCAACCACTTTCTCTTTGGTGGCTGCGTAGCCTTCTGCCAACTTCTCCTTCGCAGCATCATAGCCGTGCGCAAGCTGCTCTTTCGTCTTTTGCTTGGCAGCCTCGCCCTGCGCACGCGTCTCCTTTGCAGAACAGGGGACCCTGGTAGTGCGCTTTTGCGCGTTTTGAGGCTTGCAGTCTTCTCATGGGTCAGCCATGTCAGTTGCACTTGATCTAACACGAACAAAGGAAACATCTTGAGCAAGCAAGAAAAGCCAAACAAAACTTGAGGAACACCCAAAAAAACAAAACAAAACAACCTCGAGAAAACAATAAAACAACAACAACAAAACACATGGTTTAGAAACTCTTTGGAGCATGCGCACAACTTCTGCAAGAGATCAAGCCTCAAACACACACAAAAAGTGCACTACCACAGTCTCCCGGTGTCCTCCTTTGATGCCTCAAAGTTTTCTGACAGCTTCTCCTTTGCGGAATCATATCCATGCACGAGCTGCTCCTGTGCAGCCTCTACGCCGCTGGCTGTCTGTTGCTTGGCGGCCTCATAGCCCTGCGCCGCCATCTCCTTGGACCGCACGGCGGTGGTCACCCAAAGAGGCAGTGCACCGGAGTATCCGACTTCAGGCAAAAACATAATGAATGGCAGTGGTTGGAGTGGTTGACTAAACAACCTAAACTCACCCTTGACGCGTCAACTCTCTGCGTCAGAACGCGTAATACGACGTGTTGAATGATGAAAATGCAAAACATCCCCTCCTTGGAAGCCTCGTAGGCCTCGGCAGTCTTTTCCTGCGCACTCTCCAAGCCCTGCTTCATCTGCTGCGTGCTGTCAGACGCTTGGGCCTCACTCATCTTCTCCTTGCCGGTGGCGTAGGCTTGGTTTGCGGCATCCTTACTGGCGGTGTAGGCCTGATTCGCAGTCTCCTCGGCCAAGGGCAAACCATTCGCACGAAGCCAAGCCTGGACCAACGTTACACTGAGATCCGACTTTCTTACTGCAATCCTTTCTTTTCCTTATTCGTTCTTGCTTTCATTGTTTCTTTCACTGATGTCTCTCTCACTGGTTGAGCTGCTTGCAGTTGAATGGCAACCTCGAGAATAACTGATTGCTTGTCAAACTCATTGAGCCACATGTGAAATACATGATACAACTTGTCAACACAATGTGTCAACGTGTTGTCAATCTGAAATCACTCAACAACACAATACAGTACACTATCCTGCTCATACTCGGCGCTTGTGCATGCCTCTCGCATGCGTGGCATTTAGGGCCACAGCTCCAAGTCATAAGTCTCGGCCTGGTTGCTCAGCTCATGCCCCACGATCTGGGGCTACGTATAAGTTATATGAGTTACGCGCCTCTTGGCCTTGCAAGCACGGGCCATACAATTTGTATGCCAGACACGTCGACGCTTGCTCAACATATCCTGTTGGGTCACAGTAAGTCACGGCTGCTGGGAAATCAACTTGCCACTGACCGGCCTCGACAACTGAACCCCCCGAGGTCTCCTGAACCTTCTTCTGCATGTCTGCGCTCTGAGACATCGCTCCGAGCACTCAACGGGAGACGCGGTTCACTTTCAGATCCGGGGCCTATAATTTTGAGGTTTTCGGGCCGAAAGCAAGCGGCGA